ATAACACACATGATAAGATTTTTTCTATTTTAAGTCAACTACAGTAAAAACGTGAAGTTTATTTAATAAAGTACATAAATATAAATGTGTGTTAACAAATTAACAACTTTCTGGTTTAAGTAAAAAAAAATTTAATTTTCTTTAAATAAAGTTTTAATTTTGAGTTTTGTAAATAAAAAAATAAATATTAAGAGAGTTTTTTTTTGCATGGGGTACGACACGATTCGAATCTGAATATCATATTGTATATCAGGAGAGTTTGTAAAAAAAGGGGTTAAATCCTCAATTGGTCCTTGAATTATTATATGGATTGTTAATTCGGTCCTTAAATTAAAAAATCCTTGATTTACTCCCTGAACTATTGTACGGATCCTCGATTTGGTCCCTACTGTTTACCAATTTGCCCCAAGTTGGTCATTTCGTATAAAAAACAGTTGACGTGTCCGTTATTTAACAGCAAAAAATAGTAACTTAACAACGAAAAATAATAACTTAATGGTTACATGTCACGTTAATAATAAGACATATCAGTTGGTTTTTGTATAAAATGACCAACTTGGGGTAAATTGGTAAATAATAGGGATCAAATTGGGGGTCCATACAATAGTTTAGGGATCAAATTAGAGGTTTTTTTAGTTTAAGGACCAAATCAAGGATTCGTATAATAATTTAGGGACCAAATTGGGGATTTAACAAAAAAAAAGTGTGTTAAGTGGCTAATACTCTCAAAATTAAATAGTTGAAGGGCTTTCATGGGTAATGGTGAGGGGTGTTTGCGGTGTGATTTAGTTCAAATTTTAATATTTTTTAAATCAATTCAGTTAATTGGTTAATGAAAATTTTAAACTAATTCAATTCACTATTATATGATAACTAAACTTATCTAACTTAATTCGGATTGGTGTGATTCAATCGGATGGATTGGTTTTTATCATTATTAAATATATGAGATAATATAAAAATATTTTAATATCAAATAAAAAATATAACTATAAAACACATTAATATCGAAATTAGTAAAAACATAATAAAATGTATAAATTATAAATAAGTTTTTAAACTCCTTTACATTTGTAAAAGTTGAAAAAATTTGAAAATTCTTCTTGGTTATATCATTAGAGGCACCAAGAACAATAAAAGATGACTTCAAGTTTCTAGCACGTACTTTTAAACTGAATATCCAATAATATTAGAATATCAAGATTAGATTTAGTATATAGTTTTAAGACTTTTACAATAATATTTTTTTGAAACTTAGTCATGAGAATCATAATATTATTTTAGGAACGAATTAGGAATCCAGGATTCTAAGATTAAAGGCATAAATCAATCTTTAGGGGATAAACTTACAGGTGAATTAAAAATTTAAAATTAAGGTTAAAGTGCATGATTAAAATAAAAAATAACTTAAGAAATATGAAGGTGTTTTATTTTTATTTTTTAATTAAATTAATAAAATTATTATCTTGTAAAATAAAATAAAAAAATTTTAAAATACTACAAAAAATTATATTATATTATTTAATTATGTTATTTTGTAATAATATTTTATTTTATAATTAGGTAATTTAGATATTTTAAAAATAAAATTACAAATCAAATTAATTATATCAATTTTATAATTTAAATTAATTTAAATCGATTTTTTTTTTTACCAGGTAGATGGTTAGGAAGTTAGTAGAGTTAGTTTGTTAGCAACTGAAATTTTTTCAGGAAAGTGAAACTTCCACCCCCTCATTTGAGGCGCGCGACCATTAAGTCGCAAGTTGGTGGAGTTCACGGCAATAATAGAGTTCGAAACCCTAACCTCCGCCTCACCCAAACCCTAAAGCTTGAGGTCAACCAATTGGGCCACAGTGCCGGTTGGCATTTAAATCTACTTTTAATTAGAGTATATTAGGTGGATCAATCAGATTCGATGGATATCAACACCCCTAGTCACGTCGGTCATAACACCCCTAGTCACGTCGGTCATACCAGTTAACAAAGATGAAAAGTATAACTGCTTGCCTAATCAGGTGCTTACTTTATTACTAAAAAATTTGAAACCAGAAATCACTGTTCCTCTACCTCTACCCTGGCCCATTGAATCGAAACGAAAAACCAGGGATCTGCAAATCCACCGACCCTGCCCACCCCCAGTTTCTCAAGAAACAAGCAGAGGAAAGTAAACCCCCATCGAATTTTTCCGTTCAACTGTCCTCCTTCCCTATAAATACACATATACATTACTCAGGTCTCAAGACCAGAGTCATGCATTAAAAGCATCCAGCAAAACATAAACATTAATTCTTCCTTCACTACTAGCCGCGTTTCTCAGAGATGTGTAATGGTAAAGAATGCATGAATAAAGAGGCGTTCAAGGCCACGCAACCTAAGAGACACGCTCCAGAGAGCAAGAGTGCTCCGGGGAGAGGTAGCGGTGATGATAATCAGGGTGGTGCCCGAAGGAACGGAGATGAGAAGTGGAGGAGGAGGAGAGGCGAGGAAGAGAAGCTGGAGACGCTCCTGCAGCTTATTTTCTGGGGACCTAATTAAGCGTTTGGATTCTCTATTTCTTTCTTTCTTTCTCTTTTTTTTTCTTTGAATGTCGGAACTTTTTGGGGAGGGGGGTTAGTAGTGCCTGGGTTTAACCCAGGACTTCATGTCCAAGCACCTTCTTCCCACAAGGGGGTGCCCAAGGCCACTTAGTGCTGGACATTTGGATTCTCTTTTTCGGATCACAAGATTCAAGGGGACTCAAATTTTGTAAGCAAATGAAATTTTATTTAGTTGTAAACGTGCTTATATATATATTTTATATGTAAATATGAAAATAATTTTTATCCTGTTATCTCTTAAAAAAAATTATTTTAAAATTATTTAATTTTAATAAAATATTACAAAAAAATAAAAGGTAACATAATTAATATTTTAAAAATAAAATATTTTAATTTTTTAAATAAAAATTTATTGAAACGAAAATAATTTTAAAATATTTTTTTTTAAATCTTTATAAGATAAAATGAATATACATTATTTTATTTATTTATACATATATATACACACGCGCGCGTAGAAGACAATCCTTTCTTGTGGTTTGGGTTATATCAGACTGAAAAACATGTACAGCTGAATTAGAAGAAAGCCTCAATATATCAGGAGCCTATTCTTCATTCAACAATTTTAGTTATGCATTCAGGTACAGTGGGTATTGCAAGCAAAGTTTTCAGGATGGAGAAGAATACAGTTTTCATCTGACTAGTAATTTTTATATGAAAGAAAGGGAATTGAAAGATACAAAGAATAAATGTTAAGAGGTAAAAATGAATAAACCTAATAACACATCCTGTACATAAAGTGCCTAGGAGTTGTAATAGCCAGAAAAACACATACTTTAGAAATCAAATCCAATCTTATATATCATCTGGCAATAGGAAGCTCTGTGAACCGAAAATTTGATGGGCACCATTTTGAAGAAAGACAGCAACTCCACATTTATCGCCATTGAAGCCATCCCAGAGAGCAAGGGTAACGGTTCCGGTCACTGTCTTCTTGGCAGAGATGCCTTTGACGGTGCAGACCTTCTCAAGCCTCCTCACCACAAAGTCATTGGCCAGGACTTTCCCTTTGTTCTCCCCCTTGGGGCAGTCGTTCACCAACCCACTCTCGTACAATGCCAACATGACATTGACACCATTGTTGTCTATCTTTGTCCTCAAAGTTCCGGAGAGGGACACTTGCAAGGACTCTGATGTTGGTCTCTGGAAAGTTGCCTGAAAACGCAGAAAAGAGATCATGTCATCATACATTGGATTGGAGAATTGTCTGTGCGTATGAAACCTTGAAGAAGATTAAACAAAGTCAGAAATGAACCTATTACCAACTGCAGTTTGTGGGTTCAAATCGTGTAGATTCATGTTAGAAACTTTATGAATCTCTTGGATTCATGTTACAGATTCAAGGTATTACGAGTACATATCATAAGCTAATTCATCAATTTAGAAGATATTAGATTCATGTCTACAAAGATTCAAGGTATCCAAGAAGTATCAAACTCCTCTTCCTTTTAAGAAATGAAGTAATGTAAAATGAAGGGTCCATGTATGATAATGATACCCAATCAGGTAAGGCAATTAGTCTGACAATAAAATAGTAGATGGCAAATAGAAAATTTTCTAGGACATTGGCTTTATTCTTTGATAACAAAATGACACCTACAAGGTGATTCACCTTGATCCCAAGATTCTACTCAAATGGGTAAATTTTTGGAGGATATAACCCATTGAAACAGAGGATTGGATTCTTTCTTTTCCTAAAGTTGCTATATTTAATTCTTGATTTCCTTCAATTTTAGTGTTGGTTGTACTGTGTTATGTATTCTCCCTTCCAAGAATCTAATTACTATATTCATTGATACTTATATAGTTCACAAATTAGAGGAAAAAACCGGATCTGGCATTTTAACAAACATGTATCAGACAAACAACACATACCTTGAAGCCCGTAGAAGGGAACCTGGGTGCATTAGAAATGGTCGACAGCAAAGCATCCTGATCGCTCGCCACACACTGGGCCGTCCCCTGAACCACCACCTGTGGCGTAAACATGGTGTCAAGCTTCAATGCCTCTACATAAGCCTTTTGCCTCACAGTCCATTGGCTGGAACCATAAGGGTCCTTCCATCCCATGTAGTCCCAATAATCAACGTGATAAGCCAGCACCACCACCGGCACCTCCAATTGAAAATCTCCCCTCCCCAGCCTCGATATCAGAACCTCTGCCTGCGGCGATGTCGCGCATCCCTGTGACGAGAACAACTCCACTACGACCGGTCCATCTCCCGACGAATCGACTGCCCCACTACTCTTCCCATTTCCGTCTTCGTTCTTGGACCCACCCTTACCAAAACAAGCTAACAGATGGCGTACCATTGTATCCTAGTGGTCGTCTCCTCACCGAAAATAGACGGTGGCGCGATGTGCAGTGGTGGTGGGTGCCCTGTTTCAGATCACAGGAAATGAGAGAGAATCAAATATCGAAATGGGTGTAGTCGATCTCTCTCTTTCTCGCCGAAGGTAGAGCTGTAATATTGCGATGTGAGTTGGTGGAGGGGAGAGAAAAGTGGCGACTAAGACGCTAAAAATAAAAATTGGATGTTCTAAATATTTCTGTCCGAAAAATAAAGGATTTGGTACAGTTTTAGTCCTTTTATTTTCAAAAAGTTGCACTTTCTTTCCTATTAAAAAAAATGTATTACACCTACCCTTCTAATTTAAAATGTTGCAAGTTTCTATCCTATACACCACCAATGGCATGATTAATTTTTTTAAAATTGAGCAATTGATGTTGTTCTGGCTCTAGATCTAAAATTATGGAAATGAGAGGTATGTAGAAAAAAGAGAGAATCAAGAAAAGAATTTAGAGTTCTAAAATGAGGGAGCATATGAGATCTTTTTTTGCACTTCTTACTTTTTCTATTATATGTGGCTTAGTAACTATTGACTTGTACATGAAGTAAGAAGCAGTTCAACTACTATAATCCATAATCTCAAAAACTATCAACAATAAGGTTTTTTAATATTTGATTCTGCTTACTAACTCCATCAGAAGTCACCAAACAAAAAATATAAAGAATATCTAAGGAAACTTATATAGTTTAACAATTGAGTATGGTCCTTGGTTCTATTTTCATTTTATGGTTGCACAAAGGGAAAACAATTAGAGGATCCTCACGTTCCTTTGCATGTTGTAGGACTAAAATATCAGACTTCATGGTTCATATTCCATACTTCTAGGAAGGGGAAATTACACCAGAGTTCTAAAGCTTGAGGATGACTCTGCAAATGACGTTAAGTTTGTGTACCATAAAGAATTCGTTTTTATATTACCAAAAACAGCTGGAAAGAGGTGGCCGGTAATGGTTGCGTTGCCGACACGGATGTGTTGGTGGCAGGTCGGTGGTGTGTCAAAGTTGGGTTGGATGTCAGTAGGATGGAGCAACTGCAGCACCAAACCAAACAAAACCAGATTCCGTCTTCTAGAAGGAAATCTTAACAGTCCTGTGAAATTGTACCATGATAATGGGGCCTAAGGTTAGAAGAGGCTTTTTTAGGCCAAGATCCCTTAGCTTTTGTTAGTCACCCTGTCATGTCATCCTTTCTCTCTCTATAATACTTGTGGGCTTTTGAAAGGCCCTGGCCCGTTCCGGGAAACATCAAAATGCACCATTTATTCAGTTATCCAACCTATGTAATCTAATAATCTCTCACCCAAAGTGTTGTTTCAAAATCAAGTTTATAATTAATTTATTTTAAATATATCATGCTGATAGAAAGGTGTAGTCTCAAAATCGTTCAAAAAGAAATTATGTTTGGAAAACATCCATTAAGATTTAGTTTAACAACGTTACTTATAGTACTTTTCACATGTATTTACAAAATTTTTTTGTAACTTATATATTTAATAAATTATTTACCCTTACTTTTTTTTAAAAGGAATATAAGAGTCATTTTATCAAAAATTAATAAAATT